CTCAGGAAGTTAGTGCTCTAAATGGAGGAATAAGAGAAGATAAATTCTAGCCACAAATATTTATTGAGATTCTAATTCATGCTAAGCTTTGAGGGAACGAAGAGAAATGATGTGATCCATGCTCTCCAGGAACCTACAAATCTAGTTGTGGGGAGAATAGATGTATGCACAAAGAAAGAGAACTTTCTTACAACCTTAACTTCATAACCTTCATAATTTCTTCTTCATAACCTTAACTTATGCTACATACAATAAATAAATTCAAACTCTGTGCTGGAAAGGCCAGGACAGTTTTCACAGAGAAGGATGACCTTGGCTTTAACATATGGGTAGGATTTGAACTGGCAAAGAGGAGCGGGGAGAGCTTCTCAGGGAGAGGAAAGGGCTAAGTAGAGATCCAGCAGCTGGAATACAGGTGGATGGAGTGGTCTGACTGAAACAGAGGGTTTGGTACAGGAGCCAATGGGGGATAAGAGTGGAGAGGCAGGTGTGAGAAGAACTTAAATCACAGATAAAGGGCTGTGGACTTTATCCTGTAGGTTCTTACAGTAGGTGTGTGTGTGGGTGTGTGTGTGTTGCGATGGAATCCTCTGAGCATTGACTGAAAAGCTATGTACATGGTAGGGGAGGGGGTCAAGGATACTAATTAACCACATGCCTTCCCTATGGGATCTGAACCAATAGAGAAAGATACACAGAATCAGCAGATGGGAATCAAAGTATGAACTTTGTTAATGTTAAAGCTGTGTTGGAAAATGCAGAATGGCCCCAAGGCCAAAATGGACTTTCTACTCCGTCCTCCTGAATTAGACAGAATTAGTCATCTAGTCACAGGCAGAAGCCCTGAGCTGGACGCAGAAGCAGGAAACAGAGAGAATATTTGCTACTTGTACAGAGAAATGGAGCAAGAGGCCAGATCTTTTACTTGCAGTGACCTTGAACATATTAACCAGAATTGGAACCAGTGGAAATCAGGCCATCACCATTAGTTATTCCTCCAGCAGGGAAAATCTAACAAGGGGTAGAGATGGAGTAGAAATGTCCCTCCCCTCTATGTAAACATGAGTACTAAGGTAATAAGAGTCTCTCTCAACAAAAGCAATGGACTCTCTTCAAAGAAAAATGATAATTTTTAGATATAATTCAAGAAGTTAATGGACTCTCTGGAAGTTTGTGGACCCCAGAATAAAGATCCCTGATGTAGATAATACAATCACAGTGTTTTTTTTCAGTGGGGAAATGAAGTATCAGATTCATTCATGATAGCCAAAAATTGGAAGAAACTAAAAGTCCCTCAATTTTTTAAATGATGAAACAAACAATGGTGCATCCATACCATGGGATACTACTCAGCAATTTACCCCCATAATATCCTGAAATTAAAAAAAATAAAAAAAAGAATGAAGTACTGATACACACAACAACCTGAATAAATCTCTAGAGAATTATGTTGAGCGAAAACAGTCAACCTCAAAATGTTACATACTATATGATTGCATTTATGTAATATTCCTGAAATGACAAATTATAGAGCTAGAGAACAGAGTTGTGATTGCCAGCACTTAAGGACATTGGAGAAGGGAGGGAGATGGCTGTGGCTATAAAGGAGTAACACAAAGGATCTTTGTGATGTCACTGTTCTGTATCATGACTGTGGTAGTGGTCACATGTATCTACACATGGGATAAAATTGCACAAGTTAAATACACACACACATAAAACGGATGAAATCTGAATAAGATCAGGGAATTGTACCAATGTTCATTTCCTGGTTGTGATAATATTCTCTAGTGACACAAGATGTCACCATCAGGGGAATTTTGATGAAGGGTGTATGGGATCTCTCTGTTTTATTTCTTACAACTACAGGTGAATCTACAATTAACTCAAAGTAAAACATTTTTTAAAAGAGCAGGTTTCACAGAGCATTACGTGTAGTATCATCCTTTTGTATTAATGCCTTCAAAAGAATATATACATATATATATGCTCATGTATGCACAAAAATTTCTAGAGGGGCACACAGGATACGGTTAATAGAAGCTGTTTTGTGGGCCTGTGGCAAGAAGGACACCTACTTTTCACTGTACATCCTTTTATACTCTGAATTATTTTTAACAATGTGCATGTATTCTTTTTAATTTTATTTTTATTTATTTATTTTTTTTTTGAGACAGAGTCTCACTCTGTTTCCCTGGCTAGAGTGA